ATTAGTTACCTGACCTTGGCCAAAAAAAGTACAGTTGTTATTTTCCTTATAGGCCACTAGAATTTCAGGATGTCTGTTTAAAGCTTTCTGAAATTTTGTGAAATATAAGCTTCTTTTCAGTCTCCCACCACCATATGAATGGTCTTTGATGGTAACGTGTTTCCACATACAAATGACTCAATGAAGGAAAAATATAGAAGCCTCCTTCATCCCAGACATGCTCATGACCCAGTTTTTGCTTAAAAATGTCAGCTAGGGAATTGAAAAGATGACTCTGCAAGATGACACTTGCTGCTCACCCAGAGAACCCAAATTCAGTTCTCAGCACCCATACTGGACAACTCACAACTTCCAGTAATTCTAGTTCCAGAGGACCTTATGCCCTCTTATACCATCTTTTTGTTTCTATGGGCATTTGCACTCATGGACACACACACACACACACACACACACACACACACACACACACATATACACTAAACATATACATATTTAAAAAGTCAGATAATCCACACTTTACCTGAATGCAGATAATGGAAAAGAGAAACTCACTTGGGCTGTTTTAGAAACATAAATTTTGTTAATTAAAAAAATGAGAATTGAATACAGGTATTCTAGAATGTAAGGTATCATGCTGTTTGGAAGAACAATGTAGGTTTTTATTTAAAAATTTGCAAGCAATTTTTGGCCACACTTTGGAGACAACACTTTACTAAAATCATCCCTTGAGAATAGTCTGACAGCAACATTACGTGGAGAGTTTTTGTTATTAAATTGTTACAAGCTGCTTTATTTTAAATTGATATTGTATAAGTTCTGGGTTAGTGAGGTGACTTGGAGGGTAAAGGCTCTTGTCACCATCCTTGACATTCTGACTTCCACCCCTGGGACCGGTGAAAGGAGAGGGATGACTCCTGTAGGTTGTCCTCTGAGCTTAACATTCTCCACAGCATGCATGTACAAGCTCTCTCTCTCTCTCTCTCTCTCTCTCTCTCTCTCTCTCTCTCTCTCTCTCTCATACACACACACACATACACACACACAACAGATAGATACATAATTAAATAAAGAAGTGTAAAATACTTAAAAAAGAAACCTGAACCAAACCAAAACCCTTGCTTACAGCCTGGAAAGCAAATGTGAGGGTTTCAGTGCATTTTGTCTGATTATAGATTTTGTTAACTGTGGCCCCTACATCTGGAATGATTTGAGCCCACCAAGGAAATAAAGGGTCAGGTTGTTACCATTGGGATGCTGCAGAGGGCTGTTCTGTTCTTGGAAAAAGACACTTGCTAAACTGTGATGTAACATGAAAAAGTCTTTTTCGTCTCTCTCTTTCTGCTCCAGGTACTAGCTTGAATGTGCTAGGTTAGACGAAGTCCTACCACTCAGAAGAGGTTCTTGTGTTGCTGACGAGGTAAAGGCAGGGGAAAAGGGAGGCTGGGAGGCACAGCCAGAGTGACGTGGATGGGACTGGTTCCTTGTGCTGGTAACTACTGTCACCCAGTGACTGAACTCTCTGGATGGAACTGTCCAGACAGGCGAAAGGCTGGAATATTTCTTTCCTTTCTGGAACAATCTTGATTACAAGCTCTTAAACATGGACCCTCTGAAACTTTCTGATGGCTTGCCTCTCTCAAGGGGGAAAGCAAAATCAGATTCAGTCCTTGTTTTCTTTTTGCAAATAAATTCCTTCTTGATAAACAGAGTTCCTGGGCCACAGGGCAATGTGTAAAGTGAAGAACACTCTCCTTTTGTGGGTCTGTGTTTGTAGCCTCCTATCCTCCGTGTGTGTGTGTGTGTGTGTGTGTGTGTGTGTGTGTGTGTGTGTGTCTGGGGGTCTCTGTCTCTTGTTTCTTTTGGAGAATTTGATTACATGTTTACTCATTTACCACAAACATGTTTTCTAAATGCCTACTGTATAGCAGTTTGTGCCTTGGATGTGTTTTCCGAGTACCTGCTACGTACCAGTCCCTAAACCGGGTTCTATTGATGTAACAGTAAAACAAAAGACTAAGTCTTCACTCCTGAGGAGCAAACTCCCTAGAACTCTCTGAGGTTTGACCTAATTTTGGTAAAGTTAGGGCTGGTCTACTGTTCAGAGCAGCAGTCCTCCATTGTTGGCAGTGTGCTTCTGGAAGTCCTTGGGATCGCCCTGATTATTTATTGTCATCAGTTTCCTTTCTCCGTGGCAGCCATTCTGACTGTGGTGAGATGGGGCAGCAAAGGTGCCCGTTTCCCAATATTTATAGAGTCGATGATAATGTTGAGCAACATAAACAGTTTTGGATTGCTTTTCAGATACACCTGTTGTACTTTGATGTGTTTTTCTCTGTGTCACGTGCCTGACCAGTGACTTCCCTTATTTATGACAAGAACCACGATGAAAGTTGGCTTTTTGTGCTCTTCACAGTATTGATTTTGGAGAGATACAAAACTTTTTAGAAACTTGGAAAGTCTTGTACTCATGTATAATCCTTACATTTAAAATATCACTTTCTAAGGGAGACATAATCTCTGTGATGCATACATGTGCTAAATTAGTGACTTTGTCCTTAACATGAAAATATATTTTAAAAAATGTTTTTCTTAACACATAAGAAAACTATATGCCACTTTTTTTTAACGTTAGTCTGCTGTTTAACAAACATCTGGGTATGCTTACTACCCATGGGTTTCTGCTCTTATTGCAATTATTGCTAAAATTCTTCACTTAGGTAATGAATGGGCACTGCTGTACAGTGAAGCACCTGCTTTGTCCTCCTTCTGGCCATTTTTGTTTCTGGGTTAGTATACCTCACATGCCCACCCAGCTCCAGGCTGGCGGCTTCATCCTGGAGAACACGGGTGTGAACTTTGCAGAGGTTTCTGCTCTGGTTAAGAATGTTCTGTTTACTCACAACCCCATTTCCCTGCACCGCCAGCCTTTGCTGCCATTACTTCAAAAAATGAATTTATCAGGAAAAGCTGAAACTAAGTATGTCTTGTTGGTTCTGCCACTGTGTTCTCGCCCATCTCACTGCCCCCTTCCTCCCCCTCCCTTCCAGACTCCTTTTGCTCTCCTGTCACTAGCGTCTCAGTGTCCTTCTCCACTCCCTTGACACCTCTCCAGTTTCACAGCCCTCACTCCCCGCCATTTACAAACACATATTGACATTCACAGATAAGGGCACGCATGACAGGCAATATTCCACTGCTGTCATCCAGAATCTGTCTTCGTCCTTGCCAGCTCTATCCATTTTCTCACGAATACCACGATTTCAGTTTTTCTTTACAGCTAAAGGAAATTCCCACTGCGCGTGTATGCCGCGTTTCACAAGCCACTCATCTGTTGATGGCTACCAAGGCTGGTCCATCTCCTTGCTGTTGTGGACAGAGCTACCGTGAGTGTGGATGTGTAGGTACGTCTGGAGTAGGACACAGAGGCTCTTGGGTGTATGCTCATGAGTGGTACAGTTGGGGGGGGGGATATGGCAGTTCTATGTTTAATCTTCTGAGACCCCTATGTACTGATTTCCAGAATGGCTGTTTTATGTTATACTCTCACCTGGGCTGAGTAAGATCTCCTCTTTTCCCACACCCTTGTCAACATTTATCATTGCCTTTCTTTTTTCTTGTTGGCAGCCATTCTAACTGTGGTGAGATGGGACGCTGAAGTTTAGACTTGTATGTCTGTGGTCATCAGTGTTTCTTTTTATTCCTTTGTTTGTTTGTTTTTTTGAGATAGGGTTTCTCTGTGTAGCTTTGGAGCCTGTCCTGGAACTCACTCTGTAGACCAGGTTGGCCTCGAACTCAGAGAGATCTGCCTGCCTCTGCCTCCTGAGTGCTGGGATTAAAGGTGTGCACCACCAATGCCCTGCTCATCAGTGTGTCTTAGTAGAAGGCTTCAGCCCCTTTGCTGGAAAGAGCCAGACACATGACCATGCAAGGGGGTTGGCTCCTGGAACTCTTGTCTTTTCCATTCATAAAGTGAAGGGCCCCACCTCACAATTACTAAACCTACAGGTTCCTTTGGAATTCATTTTATGGAAGTTATAGCACCTGAACTTTGATAATAAAAGTACTAAGGCTTACTTCATAAGCAAGGCAAGAGTCAGTCTTATGACTGTTATCACTAATCAAAAAGACTTGGACAGTGAAATGAACTTGATCATAAAAGCCAACCCAGTTTAACATCATTTTCCTTTGATGCTCATAAAACATTTACGGCTCCTGCAGTGCTTCAGACATGGATAGCTCCCTGGGATACTGTTGGTTTTAATTCTACAACATAATTTCAATATCAATATCCTCTTTTGGTCACATGCTTCTATCTTATAAGTATCAAACAAAATGATGTTATTGAAATCTTCCTTTTTTAGAGACATCATTAGATTGCATCTGGGAAGTGTCATTATTCAATTATAAAGGCCAGAGAAGGGGCAATGCTGCTAAGATTGATGACTTAGTTTCAGTCTCTCAAACCCAGAGGCCTGAGAAAACCAGCTATAAAAGTTATTCTCTGACTGCCACATGTGTTCCATGGTGTGTGTATACTGTCACATGCACAATAAATACATACATACATGTAAAAACTTAAGGCCAGGGGAATATTAATGTGTAGACGTGAATGTATTAAATTGACAACCAGGCTGAGTGTGGTGGCCTATGTCTATAATTCTAACATTGAGAGGTGAAGGCAGGAGGATCATGAGTTCAAGGCTGGGATCAGCTACATACTGAGTTTGAGGCCACGCTCAGCTACAGGAAACTGTTTTAGAAGACAAAAAAAAAAAAGAATAAGCAAACAGACAAAACCAAAAATACAGATGGAAGGAGTGACTGAAGAAGAAGGTATTTGTGCTGAGGGTGCCATTCCTCATAATGGGGTATGACATTAAAAGTTAATTTCATTAGAAACATTGCCAATGTGATCTTTTCTCCAGATGAGGAGGCTTTTACTTCCTCCACCACCATCCCAGCATGAGTTGTGCACTAAGTAGGCTTTGCCAGGTTCTTACCTTGAAGAAGGTCATCGTTGAGCCATCTCTGACTGCTCCATATTCTATCTTGGTTTGTTTGGCCAGATCATCTGCGGAATCGATGGGAGATTCCATTCTCTCTACTGTCAAGAAGGCAGCCAGGTTGGCAGTGTAGGATGAAATGATGATTAGGGTGAAAAACCACCATATGCCTCCAACTATTCTGGTCGATAGAGCTTTGGGCATCAGCTCTGATCCTGTGACAGCACCATCAGAGTTAGGGTGTTACACTGAGTCAACAAGCAGCAGGAGACTCACATTGGTCATTATTCTAAGGGGGAGGGGCTCTTCAAAGACTGTCTTGTATGAAGATGAAATGAATGAGCTTTCTAGAAATGGAGCAAAATCCAAGAGATTCCTTCTTTAAGTCTCACTTATTAATTATGACTTCTGCTCACATGTAAGTAGTCAGAGTTGATGGCCTTAAGATGCTTTCAGCCCCAAGATAGACTGTTTAAAATATGTTCAGCTGCTTAAAAGTGAAGAGCTAATTCTAAGGCTCCTGACCTTACTGTAGCTTAATGCATTATTTAGAGGGAAATTATATTCTAGTTTTCTCTAAAAGGGTAACTTGTTTTTATTTAAGGTTAAACCATGTGGGGAACTTTCAAAAGGTTGCAGATCATTCCAGTTATAACATGCAACTTAAAAAAATGGGAATTTTCAGATAATGGGAGATGGAGATTAGATACACTTATTTGTGGATGGGTCCTATTTTGTTTCAAGCTACTGTTAAGGAAACACATACTTTTGTCCCCTCTAATTTACAGTCTTCTTTGACTGAAATAGAATATATTATTCAAAGGGTACATTTTTGCCCTTAAATAAAGAACTGTTTCAAAAAAATTGTTGTTTTCCCCAGTGCAGATATGTTGTGCCTGATAGGAATACTCATGGTAGTTATCATTCAGGTCACTGTTGCTTTTAAATGGTACCATGGAGATACTTAATATGTGTTTACAAACAAAAGACTCCTCTCTCTATTTGTTCTACTGGTCAATCATCCTGAAAGGAGTCTATCTCAACTTTGAGTTGTAGGTGTCCACATCCCAAGCAGCCAAGTTGGAAGGGACCAGGAGTACATGGATGCACTTCAGTTAGTTCATTTGCCTGGAATCTACTCTTGGCGTTGTGCTTAGTGTTACTTCTATGAACCCAAAGTCATGGCAGAGTTTATGTGTTCAGTTAAAGTGGGTCAGCGAGCAGCTCCCATTGAAAATCTCAGAGACCCAAAGTGTTTGTGTGTGGTGGATTGGACATAGGGTTGTAGTGATTCTTTTTTCACACTAACGATACTAATGGCATGAGATGGAAAGAAAATCTGGAGTTTACTAGTCTGCAAATGAATGAGCTTTTGCTCAGGTTTCATCTACAAGCAGACACACACATCAAAACCAGCTCAGAGCCAGGGCTGAAGAGATGCAGACTGGCAGAGTGTCTGGCCTGTGACTATAGAAATATTCTTTTAATACTCTTAGTGTCTCTGTGGTGTTTGGTTCCCTCTGATGAGATAAATGGTTCCACTGTAGTTTGCATTCTCTTCTTTTGTTTGTTTGAATTTCAGTGTGTAACATTACACAAATTTGTAGCCATTTCCATTAAATTGCCTCCAAGGAGTTAGCAAAATAATCTCTTGCTGTTGTTTTCATCTTCTCGTTTAAAAGGATTTGTATGCCTATGGGTTTGTACACTTAAAGCCCAAGGTTGCCTTGTATCTTTGCACTTAATTGATCTAGCCACCTTGTAGCAATGTGATATTATTTTAGATCTTTAGTTAGCTGCCATTAACATACCATTTATCTTATAAAATGTAACATTAAAGATACATTTTTTCTTGGCTCATAGGTACAAATTTTCTGCTATCATCCTTATGTTATTTTGTTGCATTTATGAAAGGAAAGCTTTCAACTTATCTGTATACATGCATAATTGTGTTTTGTATGGAAATAGACATGAGAAACCATTTGACAGGCAAATATAAATTTATGTTTTTTAACTTTAAAATAAATATTTTTGACTTTAGAAGAAATTCTTGGAAACTCAGGGCAAAATGTAGCAACCTAATGGGATTGCAATCTAAACTCTCATTATATGGTATTAATGAAATTTCTCAATACTCCTTTGCATTTAAAAAAGTCATATAATTTTGGGAATTTCTTAATTATTGTTATCTGATATATTCTAAAATGGCCTTCATCAAGGAGAGATGATTTGTGCATGTTCAGTACCCTATAGGATGAAATCATGAAAACAGTAATAGTATAGAGTAAAACACCACTGGAAAATATTCAGGATGAGACAATACTTGCTGAAGTCTCTTTAGTGCCTTTTATGGCAGACATGACAGCCAATCCTGATCCAGACTTTTCTCAGGCTCTGTAGAAAAGAGAAAGTCTGATCATCACATTAAAAAAAGAAATGAAACAGCGTGGTTTCCAATTTAATACAATGACAGGCTTCTGCACACTGGGGAGAGCATGACAGACAGTAGCTACCTAGTCCAATGCCTCATATCGAGGGCAGATGTACTAACAGTCACAAATACCGCACTTGCAAATTCGTGTTGCACCTGAGGAATGTTTGTCAACTTCTTGAAGACAAGCAGAGTCTGGCTGGGGCTGACTGTCATGTATCCAAGGTAGTGGTAACTAACAGACACCACATCCCACAGTTTGCTGTGGATGCTGGTAAACTCCAAGTGGGGAAAATATGTGAGTGAGGTTTTAAAAATGGATACATGTACACGGCAATAGGTACATACCTGCATAGGTCTGCAGCATGGTCAGTGAAACCTGTGTGTGTTTGTTTCTTATTCTATTGCTGGAAAAGTCAAGTTGTTGGGATGGGAGGAGGCCTCCTTTATCCTCAGAATAATTGCTCACACGATAATTACCCGAAACAATTAAGTGCACTGGATAAGGCGGACATAGCTTCTAATGGGGTGTCTTCCAGAATTTATAGTTCTGTCTTATGCTCTAAATTCATGCCAGTGATTTCTACTAAACCCGGTTGTGTCTACACCCATTTAATAGCCCCCACATAAACTATGCATAACTACAAAAAAGTGTTCAGTTCTGAAATTATGTGGTATTTGCATACTGATGACCAACGTAGATATTAATTTATAGTCTCTGTCTCTCTCTCTCCCTCTCTCTTCTGTCTCTGTATCTCTGTGTGTGGTTTTGGAGTCACAGAAGGTAAACATTTCAAATGATATGATAACAGCATCCTAATGAAAAACCCTAGGTTGACGTTCAAATCACATACATGCTTAATGTACGTCCCAGTTGGTTTTTATTTTTTTGCCAATTTATTTTGTAGCTTATTGTCAAGTGGAAAGATAACCCAAACACAACAGCATCTGTGACTTATGATTTTCTTAAATTAATGCATTTAATCTTGGAAATATTTGCTGGACCATATGTCTGAGATCAAAGCTGAAGAAAACCCACAAACAAGATGGATTTCTTCCAAAGATTAAAACAGCCTCTCCCTCCTCCACAGCAAAAACAAAAATCTCTGCGATTATAGAGAAAGGTAAAGAATATTACATTTCTTTGGTTTCAGTTTTATTTCTCCAACCTCTACAGTTTACTGTTGCTATGGTTACCAGTCGAAGGTGATCGTAGGACGTTATTGGGTGGCTAAGGGGAATCTCTATGGGGTTTCTCAGACTAGTAATTAGATGGAAGGTCTAGGTCCCGTTAGCAACAGGGAGAATCCAAGTGGATTCAAACTTCAATGGGTTTAAATTCCATTCCATTTAAATCGTCCACTTGTGAGTTTATGACTGAGAAGGAAAAGATGGGTATGTCTGTCTATGGAAATGCATTAAAAAAAAAAAGGTTTCATGATGTGTAATCATCCCTGTTAACAAGGTTTAGAGTCGCTTAGGAGACACATCTCTTGACATGTCTATGAAGATGTTTCCTGACAGGCTCGGATGAGAAGGGAAGACACTGAAGGTAAGATGCCCCTTTTTATAGGCCGGTGCTGTAGGCTTCATAAAAAGGAAAACGTCATACAAAAATGGATAAATTCATTGTTCTTTGTTTCATGACTGCAGATACAATGTGACTGTTGCCCCAAGTCCCTGTCCCCATGCTTTCCACGCCTGATTGAAAATACTCTTAACTACGTCACTGCAAACCCTTTAGCCCTTAAATTACTTCTAATCAGTTATTTTATTCCATCAATGAGAAAATAACTAATAGAGGTTCCTTATTCTTCACTACTTTGGGGAAAATGTATGTCCACTCTTTGAAAGAAGTGTTCCTCTTAGACACAGAGCAAAGAAGTGCCATTTAGACCCCGTTTCTATCTTCTGCTTGGGAACTTTTTATTTTCTATCCCTACCATCTAGCTTCATGGTGGAGTTTGCCAGCATGAAAGCTTGTCAGCAGACTGTGGGATGCGAGTGACAAAATGGGCAACCGGTGTACCTTGCTGCATGAGAGCTCCAACTCCAAACCAGAAACTATTTAGCAAAGTGAAATTGTTTTCCACCACGTCTGAGTCGGGGTTGCATGGGTGGGGGTTATACCACTCGTAGGGTGTAAACCTGTGATAATTACAGAAACAGTTTGTAAACATCAGATACACACAGGAAGCAGAGTAAAATCTGCCATGCAATGCAGAAAACCCAACAACTGAGCAGAAGCAACAGGACTGAAGACGGTGTGCAGACACTTCCAGCTCTACTGGAGTAAATGGAAAAGTCTTTGGGCAAATATTTGCCAGCTTCTTTTTTTCTCCTCTCTCTCTCTTTTTAATTTAAATTAGAAACAATCTTGTTTTACATGTCAATCCCAGTTCACTCCCCCGCCCCTCCTCCTCTGGCCCCACCAAAAAAAACCCTATCCCATCTCCTTTCTACTCCCCAGGGAGGGTGAAGCCTTCCATGGGGGATCTTCAAAGTATGTCATATTATTTGGAACAAGGCCTAGGCCCTCCCCCATGTGTCTAGGCTGAGAGAGTATCCCTCTATGTGGAGTGGCCTCCCAAAGTCCATTCCTACACTAGGGATACATGCTGATCCACTACCAGAGGCCCCATAGAATGCCTAGGCCTCTTAATTGATACCCACATTCAGGGGGTCTGGATCAGTCCTATGTTGGTTCCCCAGCTATCAGTCTGGGGTCCATGAGCTCCCCCTTTTATAGGTCAGCTGTTTCTGTGGGTCTCTCCAGCCTGGCCTTGACCCCTTTGCTAATCACTCCTCCTTCTCTACAACTAGATTCCAGAGTTCAATTCAGTGTTTATCTGTGGGTGTCTGCTTCTGCTTCCATAAGCTACTGGATGAAGGCTCTAGGACGGTGCCAGCTTGTTGCTTCAGAGTCAAATCCGTTAGTGGCTAGGATGGCACTCCTCAGACCCATGTCTACTGAATTCTGAGTTTTCATTCATTTCCATTTTACTGAGAAACTAGACAACTGTAAGGAAATGTTCCCACATCTCAAGTTTTGACTCTAGCAAGGTACAAGAGTGGTTTGGAATACATAATGATCACACGGTTGAGCTGTTATGTTGCTAGATACCGTGAGGGTCATGTGCCCTCTAGAGACATTATGGTTCCATGAACATGCACTATACAGAGTCTAGCATTTCACTAATGATGCAGAATAAAGAAAAAAATGAACAAAAAAGAAGGGCTGTATTTGAGAGTATATCACTTATTTCAAAGATACTATATAGCAATGCAAACCCCAATTCTTCAATGAAAAGGCACAGCTTAAATTTGGGAGGATTATAGCCCAGGTATAGGTATATACTATACATACTAATATAGTATATTAGTATTAACTTCAAGGATCAGACTGGGAAATTAGAAGCTCATTCTTCCCTTTTGATTTATTATTAATTGAATTGTTCTCTGAATTATGCCCTGAAGTCATGTAATCACCAACTCTGGTTAGGTGTGCCAAGTGTTTTCTGTGGCACCATTATTGCTCTACCTCCAAGAGACCGTGGCTGGTAAATTCTGGAAATACAATGAATCACCCAGGAAATCTGCACAAAGGATCTGACTTGACTCATGTGGCTTCAGTTTGCCTCTCAATAAAATGGGGAAACCTGTATGCTTAGAAGCAACATTTAGAAATAATAATATGGAGGGATGGTTACAATTTTTACTCCTTCCTATTTCTCTTATTATCTGTCTGACCTATCTAAACCAGAGGAGGCTTATGCTCCAGGGGTCTTCTGGGGAGCTACCCTAGCAAGGTATGCTTTTTTTTTTTATTAAAGACATTGCCAGATGTCCTGCAAAGTCATCTGTAATAATTTAAAATGCAACAATTCATAGCACTGGAAGCTTTGCTATTTGTCACTGTGTCCTTTTGAGGCAAGAAAAGGATTGTTAACGTAATGTTGAAATACTGTAACGCCAATGAGAACATACGGATGCTCTCCAAGCCATAAGGCCTCAGTAGTGAACAATATCAGGTTGCAGAGACATTAGGGAGAACGGGGTTTAAGGTGAATCTATTGTCTACAGTGAAAAGCAGGACATGCTGTGAACCATGCACAAAGAACTGGGAAGAGAGTTCCTCTTAATGAAAAACTTTCTTTAAAGCCCCAGATATTTTCTACAAAGTGTGCAGTGTCTTCTCACAGAGTCTTAGGGGCATTAGGACAGAAGCCTCATTATTTATTATACCATAATGTCATCCAACTCTTTCCTTGGCTTTTCCCAAGCTGCAGGGTACACCATGCACGTTCCTGTAAGCTTATGAACACAGCTTTAATTGACAGTGCATACCAATACATTTTAATTACTGTTGCAACAGTATAATTAAGTTTTGAATTTATACGCTCTTATAACCATATTAGTTTGCTGAGCTGAAAGAACAAATACCAATATTAATGACCCTAATAATTGAAACAGCATGCAGACTAAAGATGCTGTTACTTAAACAATATCATTGTCAGTTGTACAATAATTTTAAAATATTAATTTCAATAAATTAGGAAGATTATACATTTAAGAATACAAGCTCTTCGAATAGACCACAAAACCTGGCAACCACAGCCCCTGGCAGTCTGTTGTTTACCCACTAAATACACTTTGATCTGCATGTCCTTTGAATGCTGCTTTTTAATTTTTTCCATGTATAAACAATTAAATGCAAATAAATAAAAATGTTAAAATACTTTAATGCTGTGAGCAATTAATTGGACTTTCTAAGGAGCAGAGGGAAACTATCTGAACATCAGCACACTTCTCAGCTCTTCAGGAAGTTGCTAGCTCTTTCTCTCCAGGATTCCGAGTGACTTGGGAAGCAAGTGAACAGGGTAATATTGAATAACGACACAAGGCACTACAAGACACTGGCATTTTATGATGTAGAAAGACATGCTTGTTGTGTGGGTGCAGATACTTCAGTTTGAGAATCCTAGAGCGGGCTTGTTATAGCCACTGTGATAGCATGTCAGCACCAGGAGGCCTACAGGAAAGTCTAATAATGGTCTACAAAAGTAGTCATCTGGGAGCTCTATCCCCATATGATACTAAGTCAGGACTGATGGTCAGTAACATGACACATCATCTGAGTGTGCTTAGAATCTATGTCAAAATGTGAAAGTATGATTAAGTTTTCATGGGTATATTGATGTATGTTGCCTGCAACTCTAGCATTTGGAAGGCTGAGACCAGAGATTGCTTCCTATTTGAGATCAGTCTGTCTCCATAGGAAGTTCAAGAACATCCTGGATTGCAAGGAAAAGTCTTCCTTGTTTCAAACAAAGCAAATATAACAAATCCCAGTGTTGTGAATCTAGTGGATTTACACATGTGAACGTTTGCTTTGGGTTGGGGTTTAGACACATAAAGTTTACATTGAGTGCAGAGTTGTGACATAGTCCTAATTGAGGGGACAGTCTGCTTCTTGTGGCTGACAGACATTGCTTGCTTTGAAGATAAAAAGATCCATGTGTTTCAATGGAGAAGAGACTGTTTGAGCTTGTACAACCACTGAGTTTTACTGAAACCTTAGAATTTGCTTTCATTCTCTTTCCTATTTTTGCTTTTTGCTAAATGCCAGCTTTCAGGTCTTGATTTTAGTAAGACAAATGTAGATAACTAACGTAGGCAAGCCCTGTCTTAGGAAGTTTGGCTCATGTCAGTCCGATATCCATCACGAACCTAATTCCTTGGGGTTAAATATTTTTAGAAAGTCATCTGCCAAACCAAAACACTAACACGCACATTTGTTAGCAGTCATGCTTAACTGGCCTTTTATTTGTTTTCCTTAGTGTCTTCCATTAATGCTTTATAACTTTATAAATTCAGTTGAGTTCGACAAATGACTTTTAGCGATCTATTTAGTGAGGGTGTTAGCTTAAATGCCAGCGTTGGCTTTATTTTTCACTTTAAAAAGCATAGAAGAATATTCCTCATGATACAAATTTGAAAGCTTCTTTAGGGCAAAGGATAATTATTAGATCTGTTTTCATTTTCACGCCCCTGAATTCAGTTGGGATGCAGTACATAAGGGTCCCCTCAGCCTGTGAGCTTCTCAGGGCTTCTGGACTATGCTGACACACCATTTTCCTCCCAGCTTTGGCCAACTTTGCTATAGTAAGTAATGTGCTTTTCCATCGACATAACCTTGGCTACTTCATTTGCTAACATTAATTTTTGAAGAAACCATGGACTCAGGACATGAAAACTCACATTTATATTGCCCTCTGCCCCTTTAATTACTTAGTTAGGGGTGAATCCCAAGGAGAAAAATCTAACGATTCAGTATAATGGGGTGCTTTCCTTGTGAGATAATACTTTATTACCACATGGCTATCCCAGGGCAATATTTACTTCACCTAGAAACTGTGGCAAATCTCCAAAGGTCAACAACTGATTAAAAGTTGTTTTCAAGGATTATTTTCTTTAATTATCTTGAACATGGTCTCTTGACTTTAATATGACTGACATTTTGAAGTTGATAATTTTGTGTGTGTTGTGCACTGTGTGTGTGTATGCGTGTGTGTGTGTGTGTGTGTATGGAAATTTAGGTCAACTATTAAAAAACAAAAAATTTGAGATTTGGCAATGACACATTTTACAAAGTGTTAGAACTCCCAGACTTTGGTCGCCACTGAAGCTTAAATGTCCATAGATAGGTCACTTGTTCAGTTTGATTCTGTCTGTCTTGTGGTATAGTGATTTTATCTGAATTGAAATATGGGAAAGTCAAATTAATACAAAGGAGTTTCTTGTTTATTTAAATTGAATCTTTATGGATAATTAACTTTCAATACACACAGTAGTTTTACATGGAAACCTTGAAAAAATGCAGCAATGAGCAAAAGTAAAATTGTACTGAAAACCATGAATTGCTGAAATCTGTGACTGACAGACCATGGTCGTGGATTCAGCATTCTCAGACTCACCTTGCAATCACGAAGAGTACACAGCTGACTCCTAAGCAGGCCAGTAGCACATACATCCAAATGTCTGGAGACAGGGGGTTGAGGAAGGAGAAGACACCGGGATTGGTTCCATTGGGCTTCCGGTAAAGAATGCTAATGCCCAGGGTCATGAAGGGCTTGGAGAAGTCTATGACTTTCTCCCTTACATAAGTGATGGTGAGAGGAGCCACTGCCAGGTCGGCTCTCTGTAAAAACAGGTTCAAAACTGTCAGCTGTGTTGCCTTTCTTCTCTGCAAATGACTAGGCTGAGTACCTCTGTATCTCTATTTTCTAATCTCAACTACAAATGCTTTCTGTGCAAGAACTATAGCAGCGATAGCGTTTATTATCAAAGAGGAACCAGTCAGAATGAATGGGTAGGGTTGGGGTGAGGCACACACACACACACACACACACACACACACACACACACACACACAGAGAGAGAGAGGAGAGAGACAGAGACAGAGAGAGACAGAGAGAGAGAGACAGAGAGGGTGGGGAAAGATATTCTTAAAATTGCAGGACTTTATCAGGGACATGTTAAGAAAGGAAGGAATGAACAACTTGGCTATTATATATGCTGACAAGACGAGATTTTTCTCTGAGTCCTGATTCCCAAGTCCTAGAATTCTTGATTTAATTGGAAACCTCTCAAGCTTTAATATTTGGCATAAACAGTGAATGTGTCCATTTTAATCCCCAGTACTTATTTTACTCACCCTTCCAAAGAGGAAACTTCAAATTTGGTATTTTTTTCATTTTCCTTTTTAAATTTTGTATGTATGTGGCTAAAACCATGGAACACCAAAGTTATTCTTCAAGGCTTTTTGGTATAAAATTATTATTATTATTATTTTTTAATCAACTACCTTTTCCCTCCTCTTCCTTACCTGGGGCATTTATTTTTTCAGACAGTCAGGGGTAGTTTTGCTTACGTGGTCAATGAGTTCTTTAACCATCCCGTTCCACTCTCCTTTGTCATTTTGGGCTCCATATTTGCCGTCAGGAACCAGTTTAACGTCATAAAGGAAGCCCAGGATATTTGATAATTCCTTCAGCAGATCCAGGCAATATCCTTCAAATCTGTCATTTCCGTACAGGGGCTTGTCGGACTTCCTGTACATCACGTAGGGCTCTTCCTGAGTGAAACAAACCAGGTGTGAAAGCTCCATCACCATGAATGGAAAAGTGTGCCATCAGTAGCCTGAAGATATATGACATTTGAGGTTGGCTTTTAAGAGTGGAAAGTATTAAAATCGTTGCTTACATGCGTGCTTCTGCTACCCTGCTACCTTTGTCTATCACTGTTAGAGACTCTGTCATATATTTTTCCTTTCTTTCCCACCTCTTTAGATGTGAGCTTCTTGCACTCGTGTGTGTGTGTGTGTGTGTGTGTGTGTGTGTGATTAGTGGATGGTGCGACAAGACACATTTATGTTCAAATTTTGAATCTGAGAAGATGGAAAGTCTCAGAGGACAGTAGGGTCCCTTGTGCCTCCTCCAGGCATGACCGCATCCAGGCTTCCTTTTCAGAACTCTACTGCCCTTAGGCTTTGACCTAAGAGTGTCTATTTATAAATGAGAAATGGGGACCAGCCAATATAAGCCTTTCATTTTTCAAACAACATGTATACTAAATATTCTAATTTTTATCTTAACTTCATTCCAATTTCAATTTTTCTTTCTCCATATACTATTGGCTATTTCCGTGGTTTCTTCTTTCATCAATTCTATGGTCTTATTTGAAATCACCTTGGACTTCAAATCTGATAAATGCTTCCCTTAGATACTTACATGATAAATCCATTATTTTATAATTATTGACTATCTTGCTACCATGCATCTGTAAGCTTACAAATTCTCATTTGAGTACATAAAGGTTTGTTTTGTTTTATACAATTATAATAATTACTCTACTGATGAGATGTCCTGTGTATTTATGTTTATCATCAAATAAACTGACAGTTGGATCACGCAAATACAACAGAAAATTGTTACCTAGAATGACAATATAGGGGAGTTGCAGGACAGCCAATTCTACACACCAAACCTTGTAAAAAAATGAAACAAAACACCACCCCATCCTGTTTCTATAAGGTGGTTGCCACAAAAATAATGGCCAGAAGAAAACACAGAATAAGCCAACAACAGCAACAACAACAACATAAAAACCAGATCTGCTTCTGATAAACAAGTCTCACAAGGCATCTCCAAAGATAAATAACCGTAATACTAAGTAAAGAAAAGCATGCCTTCAAATGCAGAGTTCAGAGTGCATTGCACTTGCCTACATCCCTTGGGGGAAAGAAAGAGAAAAATGGTTGACCTGTGTGCAGTGGCTAGCTGGACATAAGATCAGGATTGCAATGGGACACAAGTCTTTTGGAGAGCTGTTAGTAGGAGGGTTATTTCCCGAGATGTGAGCTAACGGAGTGGAGCCATTGGAGCAGAGGGGTGGGGTAAGAATGGAAATGCAATGTGTTATTCAGGGACTTATTTGTTATATTAGTAAACTAGAGAAATGGAGGGCAGAGACAAAGAGGAGTCGCAGTGTTGCCACAGTCCAGAGAAGCTAGAACCTGGGTGCAGGGGAATTCACAGTGCAGGAAACATGCTTATAGAATGAAATGGGTGGGACTGACTGACATCACAGAGAGGTCACAGACAACAACCTCTCTACTCCCTGCCACTCCCCTCAGCCTGCTCCCATGCCACTTCCGAGAGTCTCCTCTTGCTGGAAACCCTCCATTAATTCAGCAGGCAGAGGACAATAAAGAGGCCCTGAGGGGGGCAGAGAGAGAGAGAGAGAGAGAGAGAGAGAGAGAGAGAGAGAGAGAGAGAGAGAGAGAGAGAGAGAGAGAGAGGGAGGAATGGAGAAGGGAGCTGGAATTCTAGTAAAATGAAGAGTCTGTAGACAGGGTGGCAGAGCTTACATTTCACTCCTTTAAGCATGCACAAATGCATGCTTTTAGTTTCCCAGTTTAAAAACCACAGGCATATGCAGACAGAACGGGCAGCCTGGAAAAGACAGTGGGAGGATCCTTTTAGGTCTCGCGTGGGAGTGCAGATAAAGAGGCCAGGACTTCACAGCTTACCAGAATAGTGGTGACAATGAGTGTTCGGTTGGCCAGCGAATCAGTGATATTGTTGGACCTGTCTCTGTTGCCATCCGTCATGTTCAGCCCACTGTTGGAGTTCCAAATGCCAATCTGCACAGAACACAGGGTATCAGAGGCTGCCTGTTGCCCACAACAGCACTTACGTTAAGACAGAGGGCCCACTATACCAGGAATGAGAACCAAAGCTTACATCCTGGTTTATCAGGACGCCGCCGTGCAGTGAAGGCTACTTGATACAAGGGAGTGACTCAATAGAAGGATGAGGGTGTAGACAGAAGGGAAGAAATTTGGGGTATTTAAGGCAGGTACAGGAGGCATTTCCATTTTATTTTCAATTAACTAGTTAATTGTTGGTTATTTGTGACAGGGTTTCTCTTTGAGACAAAGGTATCCCTTTATAGACAAGGCTGATCTTAAATTCGGAGATCTCCCTGCCTCTGTCTCCCAAGTATTGGGATTAAAGCTGTATGTCACCACAATGGCTTGGAAATTTTACTTTTGATCATTAAGCTCGTTGATGCTTTTACATTAAAAAATTAGGAGTAAACGACTATCAGATTTTTCCTCTATAGTGAGTTTTGAGTTCCTATTTCAATGTCAAGCAGAGCTGTAGGCATCAGAAGACATGGTGCATAACAGACAAACACTCTTGTTACATTCTGCTGGCATGGAACAGCATGCCACCACACTGTTAACACCCATTCCTTTAAAACATGTGCTTACAGGGATGAAAAGAGCAGGACAGGTTGGGGAAGGACTCAGAATTGGAAAAGGAACGACAGACAGAAGTAACTACATAGATGAGAGGTTGACAAAACTCAGGATCCACCGTCCTAAGGAGCCAGTGCTGAGAGAGGGGTCCCTCCATTGCAAGCCGGTAGGACCCAGGGCACACCTCCGTGCGGGAACCCCATGGCTTTCATTGTTATCACTTGTCTATCTGTCTTTGGTGTCCATTTGACCATGAACTTTTCCCGTCAGGAAATTTTATTTTTCATCTACTTTCAGTTTTTTTTGTATCACAGAGCCAGTGGTGATTACTGGCATCCAATAGACTCCATGACCTAAAAAATGGTGTTCTCTCATTTCTCCAGTGTCCTGGTCACCACTAATGTGTCAGGCCCTGTAAGACACATGCTGATCGTTACTGATGCCCAAATTTAAAGTTGTTCAGCATCACCTGACCTCAGAAAATGTGTCAGAGCAAAAGCAGAGGTGCTGAAAAACAGAACCTCCAAGAAGAGGGGGAGGAGAAGCTGTGGGAGCCAGAGGGGTGGCGGGAACCCAGAGAACACGGCCCGCAGAATCACCTAAGCAGGGCTTATGGGGTCTCACAGAGACTGAAGCAGAAATCACCTAGCTTGTATGGGTCTGCACCAAGTCCTCTGTGTATATGTTTGCTAGCCTGGTATTTTTGTGGAGCCCCTAACGGTGGGAGCAGGGGCATCTCTGACTCTTTTGCCTGTGCTCGGGACCCTTTTCCTCCTTCTGGGTTGCTTTTGTCCAGCACTGATGTGAGGATTTGTACCTAATCCTGCTGTAACTTGTGCCATAAGCCATTGATGACCCTGGGAGGTCTTCCTCTCTCTGTGGGGAGATGGGTGGCAGAGGCAGATGTGGGGTGGAGGATGGAGGAACTGGGATGAGTGCAGGGAGGGGACGTTTTGGTCAGGATGCATTGTATGAGAGAGGAATATATGAAAATAATAATAAAAGATATTACCTTCCAGCTATCTGTGTAAGGTGTGCATGAAATTTCACCCATATATGACATGAAAACAGAGATGATTTAGGGAGAGGTAGGGGACCAGTGGGGATGTAAGATAATGAGAACAGTGTACACTTGCATACATGTATGAAAATATTATAACAAAGCAATTGTTCTGTATGCTAATTCAAAGAATTAATGCAAGATGAAATCTAAATGTCCAGTTCCTGTATATGAAATATCAGCAAATTTCTAGTTTAGGCTTGAGTCCTATCCCGAGAGGTCTCCTTTGCCCATGAAAATATTTAAAAAATTAAAAATAAAATCCCAATTCCCCTTCTCAAGCTATTCTGGTAAGGGATACTCCACCCCTACATTGGTTTATTTAGCATCTGAGAGGATCCAGGAAAGAGCATTGTGCACATTTGCTATTGGCTTTAGGACAAAGAATGTGTCTGAAAATCAGGTGGGAATAGCCAGGCAGTGGCTGTGTGTCCTTAAACAGGATGCTAAGCTTTCTGGGCTCCTACTCTCCGTGGTTTAGGGTTGGTGAGAGATCAAATGGGATGGAAGAACTTGCCCATGTTAGGAGATGCATAAATAATAACACAAGTCATGTAAATGGCTTTCACAACCATCTCTTTAAGCTTACCTTGTTAAATAATTTAGAATTGCTAGTGTTTTTTTTCTTTTAATTTAGAAAACGTGAAAGGAAATGAGTTATGTCTGTGCTTGATACCTAAGTATCTTCCCTCTGTATGGGAATAGGTTTCCTTCTACAAGAAGGCACCCAGCTCGGTAAACAAAGCATGGGCAGTGCAGGGAGACTTTTGTTTAGGCATTGACTTTGCAGTTTACCAGTTATGTGTCCTTGGGCAGTGGATTAGGCCTTCTGTGCCTCAATTTTGTCTCCAGCAAAATGGAGAGGGAAGTGCTGTTAAAATTATTTTTAAAGATTTATTTTTATTTGCGTGTATGTGTGCCTCTATGAATGTATGCTGTATGTGTGTGAGTGTGTGTATGTGTGTGTGTGTAGTGTGTGTGTGTCTATGTGTCTGTGTGGTGTGTGTATGGTGCATGTGTATGTCTGTTTGGGGTGTGTGTATGGTGTGGTTGGTGTGTGTGTGTGTTTGGTGTGTGTGTGTGAGTGTGTGTGCCTATGTGTCTGTGTGGTGTGTGTGTATGGTGTGTGTGTGTGGTGTGTGTGTGTGTCTATGTGTCTGTGTGGTGTGTGTATGGTGTGTGTGTATGTGGTGTGTGTGTGTCTGGTGTGTGTGTGAGTGTGTGTGTCTATGTGTCTGTGTGGTGTGTGTGTCTGGTGTGTGTGTGTGTGTGTGTGTGTGTGTGTGTGTGTGTGTGTGTGTGTAGGAACCTATGGAGCCAAAAGAAGGAGTCAGAGTCCCTCAAGCTGGAGTTACAGGCAGTTGTGAGCATTTTGATGTGGATGGTGGGAACAGAAGTCTGTCCTCTGGAAGAGCTGTAAGTGCTCCGAATCACTGAATCGCTGAGACATCTCTCTAGTCCAGAAGTGCTTGCTCTCTCTCTCTCTCTCTCTCTCTCTCTCTCTCTCTCTCTCTCTCTCTCTCTCTCTCTGTCATTGTTCATAATCTACCTTTGCTTTCTTTTCTTTGATTGACTTCCTTAGCAACATCTGCTTGGCAGGAGTTTTTTTAGAGATATAAATTCTTTGAGAAAATTCTAAGAACTATAACACCCTCACACATGAGTATAAACTATTTTAATCTCCATCCTCCATCAGGGTTAATTTGTTGGAGAAATGAAGAGACAAATGGAGGAACACTGAGGGCAGCCACTGCCTATAGATTGGATATTAGAAGTTCAATGGGATAGGGGCCTGTATCTTCTGGAGCTGCTCAGTACTTTCCGGACTTCTTGGAGTGTGGTGTTCAACCTGTCTGTTAATAGTGAGTGTCTGTTTCCTTTTGTGAGCCACTATCTTGGGAAGGTGAACATATTCTTCTCAACCTTCCCTCCTCTAAGGCAGAACCCTGGCTCTTAGGAAACTCACATAACAGGGTAAACAAGTTGTCCATTCTTTTATCCAAAGCTATACTTTAGGTTGTATTGCATTAGAAAACTGCGTGTAAGGTGGGCCATGGGTACAATTTCAATTAAAGATTGACCTAGGCATTGAGAAGAATAGAATTCAGTTTCTAACTATTAGCGAACATGCTTGTGACTTTAGCCACTTTTGAAGTCCGAAGGCATTTTAACTCTTATTCTCATTAAGAGAATTAAGTATGTGTTTAAGTGAATTTTTCATATTTAAAAAAGGCATTATTGAATGCTGCCAGAATATTCTTTTCTAAAACAAAACTTAACACTTTAGACAAATATAGTCTCCTATTTGGCCTCTGGATGTTCTTCCTTTTCCCAGTGGAGGTAGATTGATAAGTGAAGTGCTAAGATACCATGGTGACTGTCCTGCCATTAACTACCTCTCAAAGTCCCGAGAGTACCGCCCATCCTCCATAAAGTGACGAAGAGGAAATGACTTCCCTGCTAGCTGTGCTGGGAGGAATCATTGACTAAAAATAAACCCAGTATGAGAATCAAGGAAAGGGCACACTGTTGTGCCGACTTTGCTTCTTAATTGAAATAAATGGACTGGCTGTCAGCAAGCCAGTGTCTCTGATGAGGTGGGAGTCTGTGGTGCCGTGATGCATGCCTGCTGGACAGGACTGTGCAGTTAACCAGATGCCGGCCTTGCGGCTGTGCTGTGCGACCAGGGAGGAGTGAGTGCCTTTATGAGGCAGGGCTTCTGTTTTCAGACTGTGAAGCAAAAGCCGACAGCAATAATTCAGTGCTGAGAAGCCATGGATGTGGCCTGGCTTCTCTCGTTGTCTAAATTGGCATGAGGAAGCAGCCATTTGGTGTCCAAGAAGTATGTGTGAATGATTCTCCAGGGAATATAGAGCCAGTTTAAAAAGTGATGAAATGGGGTATTTAAGAGAGAGTCAGATAGGGTAAGGCCTCCAATGGGAGTCAACAAAGCCTGGCACATTAAGCTGAAGCAGGACCAAGCTCCCTCCTCCTGCATCAAGGCTGGACAAGGCCTCCCACCATAGGGAATGGGTTCCAGAGAGCCGGTTCATGCACCAGGGACAGGTCAGGGAGGTGCAGGGAGGGAATGGGAGGAGAGGTGGGCGGGAAAACTGTGATTGGTATGTAAAAGAAATAAAACGATGAATTAGAGAGAGAGAGAGAGAGAGAGAGAGAGAGAGAGAGAGAGAGAGAGAGAGAGAGAGAGAGAGAGAGAGAGAAAGAGAGAGAGAGTCATTAGGAAATCCCGGAGTCACAGGAACAAAGAATCTAAAATGGCTGAATGAAATAACCAGACACGTATGGGAAAGAAAATTAGAGGTGTTTCTGTATCTGTATCTTGAGGCTCCTTAGCATATGTGTGTGTGTGTGTGTGTGTGTGTGTGTGTGTGTGTGTGTGTGTGTGTGTGTGTGTGGTCTTGCAAAGATTACCAGCTCCCAGGCTTGCAAAGAATTCGAGGTGAGCTAGCAGGTGCTTTCAATGAGATCCTGGTGTTGATGTACGCTCTGAGTTGTGACTGTGCCGGAGCGAACTCTTCTCTTAAAGACAGAATCTGCTTAGGGAAACGCAACCTGTTTACTGGGTTTGACTGAGTCCCTGGGCTGGAGCTCCACTGCTGAGAATAGTAGATGAACCCTGATCCACTCAGCTGATACCGTGAGCAGTGAAGGGTTAGCAGAGAGGATGAGGAAGAAAGTCACGGACTAGCAAAGCCAAGTTGTTACATCCTTACAATTCGGATGTACATGTTACAGTGAAATGGTGCCGCTAGGACGGTCCCTCTCCCTTGAGTTTAATGTCGGGGACTAGACTCTACCTCTAGATTATTTAGTTTAAATTAATTCAGCAATGCATAAAGTTGCAGGAGTCTCCAGCAATATGCTGCTTTCGGAGTGGTAGATAGAACCATCTATTTCCTACCAGTGCGGAAGCTAGCTCACCTCCGGTGGGCCTTTTGCAACTTGGTTCATTGATGAAACAGTTTATTAAGCCCATGGCTTTTAATACTTAAAAGGACATTTCTGAGATCATATACTGAGTCCTACCCAGGGGATGATGAGATTTCTGGCTACTAGAAGAACCGGTTTACACTGTGTGTGACTTAGCCAATCATTTGAAAGGTGGAAGCGAGCCTGACCAAGCTGGACAACCTGAAATAATTTAAAGTCCATCCGTCAATCACGAGAGATTGTAGCAGCTGGTTTTAAACAGCGTGAGGCAGGGAAAAAAGAGAGAGGTGGGAGAGAGGAGAAAGAATGGCGATAATGCATCGCTTGCCTGTCACTGGGGCGTTTCTCCATGGGAACCTTCCTGGGTCTAACATCTGCTTATGGAAATCTATGCACAGTCACTGGCAACAGGATCATGTACAATAAACTATGAAATAGTGGCTGCTAAAAGTCACAAGATAATCTCATTTCCCTTCAAAAGTTTTCCGATGATTTGTCCTCTGGAAACTGGTTCTAAAATAAGTTTCAAGACAGTGTACTCTGACAAACAAAGACAGCTCAGAAGAAAGGGGAGTTTCTGAAAACGGCTCTTATTTCCCAGTGATGACATTGAAAGGAAGTGCCCTTGCCTATCTGACTAGCCTGATGGATCATTCCCCTTAGGGGAAATACTCCGTGGCCCGAGAAGGTCTATAAATGGACCTCTGTCTATATCGCTGTTGCCTGCTTGCAGTCTTCACAGACACAGATCCTGTCCAGGGTGGAAACTAATCTAGAGGGGATATTCACCCACCCATATCATTAACCCACCTAATGTCTACTTGCATTTCCTGATAATGCTGAGGGCAAACACACTCTGCTCCCCACATCTGAGGAGTCTCAGCCCTGGTCTGCAGCTGGCAAGCTACCGATTTAGTAAGATGGTCAGGGTGCAGCCACCCCATCCCCAAGTGGCCTGCTGTTGTTATCAGGGTACAAACCTTCTTCCACACTTTATACAAGTGCTTAGACACTTCACCAGCAGCCTTGGTTTTCAGAGGGAGAAATAAAAACACACTTAATTAAAATGCAGCATGGAACCCATGAAGTATTTAGAGTGTATTACGCTCCTCACCCGTGGTTTGGAGCTTTGCATTTTAATTCATATAAACACCAACAATAGGTACAGCATGGAAAGGAAAATGCAGACTGGGTACCACAGAAGTTACTTGCTCCCTTCACATAACAGAAAGTAATTAAAACACATTTGCATGTTTACAGGTATGCTGCAGAGCTAAAGGCTTCCATTATGTTTAAAGAGAGTGTTGAAGGAATTTGGCATACAAATCAGTCAGTTATTCAGGACACACCCACCCACACACACACACACACTTCCTAAGCTACATGGAGAAATATGTTGAACGATGTATCCTTTGATTATGAATTTGCAGACAGTAGAAAGTTGGGTGTGAGTGATGGATGGTCTTTTGATAATGGTTCGCCTGTGAGCCCAGAGAAGCTGGCATGGAAAGCATGGGCATGTCTTCCCTTGGCTCTCCAGGGATATGTGTTAGCTTCCCCCATTGCCTTCAAGGCTCAACCAGCAGTCTCAGGAACTGAGCCAGAGTCACCTGAAGAAAAAAGTTATTGCAAACATTGAATAGATAAGAAACAAATAGAAAGTACTTTCATCAAAATTTGATTTTGCTTTTAATAGAAAAAACATGAGTAGAATGTGCATAATATCACTGTGTATATAAGTATACACATCACAATAGTTCCATCTCGTTCATCACCTATCTGAGTCAAAAAAAAGTTTCCTTAGGAGCAATACTTCTTCTGAAAAGGCAAAAAGGCAGAAAGGAGTGGCCCAGAGAAATATATATCCCTTTAAATGACCACAAGATTTTAGGTTATAATGAACACTCTTTTCTGTTCCTTCTGGTCCAAATACGCAGTTAGGTAGGGCAGGCAGATGTTTTGTTCTCTGTTAAACCAGCAGAGGAACACAGCAGGATAAAGATGATCAAAACTGGGGAGAGGGGAGGCAGCAGCATGTGGGAAACTCATAACATGTGTACTCTCGAAGCTGTGAGCTAATTGTTTTTCTCAAACATATCCACACCAGCCATAGCCTTCTAAAACATCCAGACTAATTAATCTTTGTTTCAACTAATGATGCTTGGGGTTGGAGTGTGAGGGGAAAAAGCAGTTGGAATCTGCCAAGGGAGAAACTTGTGTTCCAGTAAATGAAAACAATGACACAGACATGAAAGCTACCTTGCTTTAAAAATAAACTCAACTATTTTAAATTAAACAAGCAATAAGCTGTCAGAGTGCTCTTTTATACTGAGTACCATGCTTTGTGTGTTAGCCACTGCCACATGAACATGCATTGGCTTATGGAGTTCCGATGTCCAGGTAGCTACTTTGGGCTTTCAAAATCTTTTGTTCTATAGGATTCTGAAGGCAAATTCTCAAACTATAAAAGCCGATTGTAACTCAATGGACATAGAAGATATTAAATTGAAATAAAAATATATTTAGCAGCCAAATACTTTTATCATTATTACTTAACAGTTTACACTCATGTTAGTATAAATAATAACTAAAATAAAACTTCAAACTTGGAAATTGAGACTTCCAGCTAAAATAATCCTGAAGTGAGAATCCAGCATTAAAATTAAAATTTTAGCATTTGTCCTAAATTAAGGATGCAATGTTAATTTGCTCCAGTAAGCCTTTTCTAGACTATTTTATTCCATCCCTCTGTCTCCAGTCTCAAAATAGAGTTCAGTTAAAATTAATTTCTGAGTAACCTTTGGATGCTTTATCGTGTTACAAACCAGTTACAATTTCCACAGTTCCAAGTGTATATTCAACTTTGTAAGATCTCTGAGAAACAGGACTAAGGGTGCCAGTGTGTAAGGTTATGTAGGCAACAATACATATTTGCTTTATAGACCAACCATCGATGAACAATAGTTAATATTATTAGTTCTGTTTATAAGTTAAGAATCTGTCCCTTCCATGCTTACCTTCCAGTGTGAGAGAATGATCTAGAATGCAGAATGCTAAGGAATATGCTAAGAAAGTCATTTTTAAAAATCATTCTCCCACTTGTCTGTGCCATTTAGCTAAAACTCCTGAACAGTGAGTGCGCTTTAGTGAGTCCATTGGTGAATTTATTCATCATCAAGGAAGTTACCTTTTCAGTTCCTTCCTCCTTGAGACTGATAATGTCCAGGTCAAAATCCTTTCTCAAGCCATCGGTCTTATTGAAGGTGATACGCCCAGTTAAGCCATCCCACCGAGCCTGAGGACAGTTAGAGTATAGTGTTATTTTTAACAGTTACCACAATCATAAGCCCATCAACAGTGCAACGCCTCAGATTCATCCCAGTATCCAGCCCCTCAGCTGCATCGTGAATTCTAACCGTTGCTTTGGTTCACTGACTTGAAAGTGGAACACTTCACTGTTTTATTAGTTCTCATTTATTGTACCATCCCTAACATTTAAAAACAGTCAGTCCTGTAATAATGGCAATCCAGATGGACAGGAAGCAAAGAGTCATTCTAGGATCATCTGTTCGTCGATTGAAAGCATCCAAGAGGTCATAGCATTCTCTTTTCCAAGGTCAGTTTAAACACCCTCCAAGCTACTGCTGAAGGGAAATGACTTCCCCTGTTAAACAGATGGACAAATGTTGCATCATTGACATTACTGAAGTTTTAGGGTAGTCATAGTTTATATCTCTTAATATTTTGCAATTTTAGTTTCTTATGACTGTGATAGCTTGTAGAAACAACCAATGACATATGTAACTGGACACTTCCTGGAAACGCATTTCTCCACCCCATAACATATCAACTTTCATTTTTGTGTTGTAGTCACCATTTTCTTATTTTTTAGCCAAAGGCCGCCTTTGTGGAAATAAAAGCTACAAAATCAGCTACGGTGTTGAGGTTACTGCAAATGCTCGGCATTCGAGGGCAATTTATCAAAAGCTTTGGTTGAGTTGAAATCTGTACTGTGTTAAGGTTTGGGATTAAGTTCATTGTAGACAGTGAGCAGTCCTAACCCACCTCCTGATCTGTTTGGAAGGAAGTAGTTATTTTCATTAAGTTCTACAAAGTTTGGGGAAAGCTTTCTCCTGAAGGTGGCTTTTCTTTCATGGAGGTCATGTTGTGAATCAAATTAGCCCATTGTGAAGAATTTATGGAGCTCCCTGAAAATGTAAAGAACCAGTAGCATTTACCTCTTGATGTAGCCTATAGCTTGTAGCATAGTCTTAAAACCCAGCTTGGAAATCCAATTTTATTTCTATAGAGTGTGCCCATTGTGTAGCTTTGCTTGGGTTCTGTAGCATTAGCTTTATTCTTGAACTGAGTGTTTGTTCCAATCATCGCAGCAGAGTAATTTCCACTCCTTGCTTTCCTCCCTGCACATCCAAGCAGCATAAAAGTTCTCTTTTTATGTTCTGACAATGCCTCCTTCCCTGCTTCAAATATCTACAAAGACTCCCTGCCTGGGTTTTTATTGAGCTGTATCTTTTGACCTTCAAAGTCAGCGTTGCCAACATTACACATGTCTACCTGCCTTCCGTCCACAGATAAATTATATTTGTATGTATCCTTTGGACTTTGGAGATAATTACTGCTAATCATTTATTAAACACCAATTAAACTATTGATCAAGGTGAACATGCAATTTTTGTATGCCATAAATAAGTCCCATAAGGAACCCACATCTTGAAGCAGGGCTGAACCATGTACAATTTAGATAATGATATGCAATTATATTCTTCATAACTGTAATTTGCTTGCCTTATTTAGATGCATTGCTGAGGGCACGATTATAGTATACTTAGATGAAAACAATACTTATATAATTGTCCCATTTTAGGAGATAGCTTTAATATCTACCTTGCTAAATCTTTTGACAATTACCACTTAATAGCAAGTAAGTTAAATAATTTTATTGCCTTATTTTCCTTTGGGCATACCATCTAATGGACAAAAGTAAGAATGGAAAACTGAAGCCAGGTAGTGGTGAGCATGTCTTTAATCCCAGCACTCAGGAGGCAGAGGCAAGCAGATCTCTGTGAGCTCAAGGCCAGCCTGGACTACAGAGCGAGTTCCAGGACAGCCTCCAAAGCTATAGACAAACATTGCCTCGAAAAACATAGCAAAACAAAAAAAACCGAGAGAACAAAAATGTTTCACTAACCATTATGCCTTATCGTATGTCTTTTCTCAAGAAATTATTAGTTGTTATAGTTAAATATGTATATAGTATATGTATGTATACATGTGTTGGGTCTGTAAATGTCTAAAACCCGATTCTATGCTCTTAGAGTAGACAACTATAAATACCAATGAGTTAAAATGACTTCTTTACTTACTTTGTCTAGAGGTAATTTAAATATGTAAAGGCCTCCAAATCCTTCCTTAAATTTTCTCAGCACAGTCATTCTCCTATGCTATGGCGAATATTGTCTCCCATAGAAACACAGACAGTTATTTGATAGTAGAATGTCCCCTTGTAGGGAACATATTAAGAAAATAGTTTCACACACCTATGCTATGGCGAATATTGTCTCACATAGAAACACAGACAGTTATTTGATAGTAGAATGTCCCCTTGTAGGGAACATATTAAGAAAATAGTTTCACACATTTTTTCTTACTTTGAATGTTATAAACTATTATTTTTCTGAGGATTGGGAATAGAAGGTTCACAAAAATTCCCTCCTTAAATTAAAGGAAGAAAATACACACCCTGTCTCCACCCCCTCATTGCTGGTATCACCAGGCCTGGCAAGAAGTCATTCCTACATGACTATTATACGTGTCACTAAAACTTGACTGGAATTGGAAACTATGTCAAAACATTGGTATGATTTGAATTGATGCTGAGGAGAAATAATATTATTTTTTAAGTTTACTATGATGTAGGGTCCATATTAGCATTTCCATTTGAGGTATTCTGTGTAATAAATCAGGTGATTATAAAAGTTGTCATTTCATTGTTCCACAGGACAATGTCTTTCCTGGCAGCTTCTGAAACAACCCTTTTCTACCATCCTGTTGGTTCATATGCAACTGATTTGATATTGTACACTGTGTTGGAGACTGTCCGACAAAGGCACTCAAATACCCACACCCAATAGAGTAAGCGGTGTAGGTCATTCACACCTAGAAACATCCTTTTATATTTTTCCTAGTCCTAAGGCAAAATCTAAACATTTAATAGCTCCTAACCTCTGTCTGTATTGCTTTTCTATTCTTCCCTTCTCTCTTCTGATTATGTGCTCTAATTCTGAGCTTTGGTCAAACCTGTCAGTTCAAAATGAGTTTGGCTAACTCACAGCTTGAAAAATGTCTCCTCTGAGATTGAGATCAGAGGCTAATCTCAGCTCACTGGCCAGCCTCATTGATGGTTCAGAGAGCATTTAGTGTCTCAGGAACCTCTGGTTTGACCCACAACCAGGTGTACACAGTACTGGGTATTTTCCTGCTGGGATAGCCTCAAGAACATAAACAGGAGGTGTATGTGTGGGGAGGGTGTGTGGGGGGGTGTGGGGGTGTGTGTGTAAGCAGTTATTCTCCATCAATAGTAAGGACAATCAGGAATCTGGCACTTTGTTGTCAGATGATTATCTATAATGTAAATAAAAAGCTACAATATTAAGAGATGCCTGTGGGGATAGTAACTAACAGCTTCCTGATTAGATGTGATACCTTCTCCACAGGGGGAAAACATACTTAGTATTGTAAATCTGGCCAAGAAGCCAAGTCTGGGGAAGGCAGAGGCTCCAGAGTTAAATCTACCATTATTTTTCAAAATGGACATGGTATCAAACTTTTGGAAGAGGGAACAGAAAGACTTTAAGAGCTGAAGTTTGTCCAGGGCTGTTTTGTTGTGAAATAATGTTTTCTGCACATGACAGGACTGGTATATTTATATTTATAATTTCACAGCATCTATGGTTGCATGCTAAGACCTTCCTAAGACAAATCCAGTCAATATTCTTGCATAGAAGGTCGAAGGGCTCATGAAGCCCTACCCTTAGCTGAGGAGCTATTGAAAGTTGATGGCTAGTCATGGGAGGAGGAAGAGTCAACTTTCATTAAGGGTATCACTGTGGTTGGTCACCCATGCTAAAACGGTTGGCTCCACACTAATGGAATATGGCAAGAATCAACTGGACTCGGTGGGTTATTTCTTTTAAAAAATGACAAATTTTACATGGGATGGGCCTGGATTTAGAAGGAAATAGGGGGAGAACATACAGATGACTATGATCAAAATTGTATGAGTGTACGGCATTCTCAAGAGCATTAGTAAGAATCTATTTTAAAATATCACAGATAATGTTACCTCAGAAGCATTTTTGTGCAAAGATATAAGTTCAATGTGCATTTTGATCACATGAAATTGTTTCTTAAAAATTAGCTAATGAAATATTATGTGTCTTTCCTTTAATTCTTCTGGTATGAATTATATAGTTCAAACATACTAATTTCCATTTTTTTCTGATTGTCATAAATTTCTTATACTGGTCTACTGATTAGACTGGCTAGCATTTCCACACAATAAATAAAAGTATAAAGTTTTGTACACAATCTACTAAGTTAGAATTAGGACAGAATTTTATGTCAATACTAATTCTGTTCTGTGACAGATCCTTTAAAACTTAATTTTCAAGCTTCTGATTGATTATCAGATCTTGAGATATTAAATAAAGCTTGCTTGTGAATAATTGTTACGTATCTGGAAAATCACTCAGTAAAATATGCTGACACGTTTATTTTCATGTGCGCCATAGAGGTGATATACATTTATATATTTTTATGTCATAAATAAGATGCCACCAAGGGTTGTGTTAATTCACATGCTGATCATTGTTACGTTTAGGAATTCATTATAGGCTTGTGTGCAGCAAGGGAGTTGCATTCATGTATGTAAGACAATTAATGGACTGAACTTTCAATGGTGAAAAGATACATTACATTCCAAATAATGAATGAATACGAGCGATGGGAGAGCATGGGTGTGTATAGGACATAGAATTTGAGGAAATAGAACATCAAGAACTTAAATTTTAATACCTATATGCAATCTAAGTAGATGCAGAGAAATATGTTGAAATATAAGCAAAGCTTATGTAGTTTTTAAGGTCTTAATAAGATGTTTTGTGATACTTTCTCCCAATTACTCCAAAACACGAAATTTGAACTTACTCCCTTTCAAAAATGATTATCAGCCTTTGAGTATCTCTCCTCTCTTAATGAGAATACATAAAAATTAGT